CACGATGGGGATCACGACGATTGAACTTACTGATACCTCCAGCTGGTGGTGTGACATCGACAAATCTCCGGCGTGGTAGAACCGCATCTTCTACATCCTCGCCGTATTCTTTGTTTGATGTTTAGTCTTCATCTTCTTTCCGAGTGTTCAAAGGGGGTTTCTTTAGTTGATGCCCTTGACTTTCTTCTCTATGGTGGAACGTTATTCTTGATGCTGCTGTTGGGTATTGTTTGCTTTGTTCTCTCTTTGACAGGTTGAGACGAGTTTCGCCACGCGTCAACAACACAACTGTAACTGAGATTCCCTAAGCTTGCAGCTGCCATCCTACCGACAGAACTGAAGTGAAAAAGGGGAGGAACAAATTAATACGTTTTAGCGGTGAAACTGATATTTTGTCAACAATAATAAAGGTCGCGCCTCTAGCTCACATAGCGAAATTTTCGCCGAGATTCCATGTTTTGAATCAACAGCCGCAACAACAACTCGATTCTGCGGCCATACGATCCACTCTCAAGCTCCATCGATAAACTCAAGCCACAACCGCAACAATAGTAACTTCCGGGATTCATCACGGTTTGGCTCTGCAACAATAAACCGTGATAGGAGTAAATCTTTCGAACCGAGTTTACTACTGATATGTTGAGTCTTGCTATGTTCATTTGATTAATTAGTTTTGAATCCATTTTTGTTTTCTTATTTTATTCTTTTTGGTTTGAAATTTGTCATGTTGTACTTGTATATTCTTCCCGTTATTTCTATGCGTTAAACATATAATGACTAGACTAATGCTTTATAATTTCATTAAACAATCGGTTTGGAAGACTTTAATTTTGGTGAGACTTGAATGAAAGTATTGTTGGCTTTATGAGGATGATTTCAAATTACTGTCTGCCTCCTAGTTCCTTAGTATTATTTTCAATTGATTTTGTTAGAAGGGAATAATCATATGTACGAAAAACTGAATCTTAAAATGAGTTTTTTTATTTTTTTAAAAAATTGCATTCAAGTTACTCTAAAAAAAACCGTTAATGTTTTTCCTTTCAATTCATGTTGGAGTGGCTTCCTCAATTCGGATAATTTGTAGCTGGCTAATGTATGTTACAATGATTATATGTATGAAAAATGATATTTATGTGTGTTTTTATTTTATCTCACAAAATTAAATTGTTTAAACTCATGGATTTGGTAATTTGATACATTATGCCACACGAAAATTTTATATCTCAATTTGGTATTTCGATTGTGTGGACGTTATGCAAAAATTGGCTTTGTAGCACATTGTGACAAATTCGATTCGATTCACCTTATGTGCTCGCTTTCATGTTACCTTATCCCTATTTGATAAAATGTACCCCAACTCCCACAAAATGTAATAATTGTTATCGCTTTTATTTTATTTATGCTTTAATGCTTCAAAACCATTTTCAAAAATAATTCTCGATTAGTCGAGCCATTTTCCACCCTTGTAAGTTGAGTGTTTTCAAAGTCTAGCCATCAACTTTTGATCACCATACACAACATTTAGAGCTTACTTCTGAGCTTCCTTACAGTGAGACCTATTTGATCAATTATTTCTAGTTGGTCATTTAGAAGACTAACCCACTTTGCTAGTGCACACGTTTAAGACTAATTCAAACCTTGATTCAATATCAAGCATTTCTTCAAATCAAATTAAAATACTTAATAACCACTTAAATACAATTTCAATAAAAGATGAAAAAGAAAGAGCTCCAAGTCTTTGGTTCACTCTCCCGATTGTTTGGGTCTGAGAAGTCTTTCTTAAGCTCGAACAATTGTCTTTTAAAAATGATAAACGAATTCAAATCTATTTTCCTAAACACTTAGATAAAAAAGAGAGAGCTCCAAGTCTTTGGTTCACTCTCCCGATTACTTGGGTCCGAGAAGTATTTCTTAAACTTTGAGTAATCGTCATCCGATTAATGCACTCTAATTATATCCAAGATTTTTCATAATATTAGATGAGAAAAGAAAGAGTCAAGTCTTTGGCTCATCCCGATTATTTAAAGTTCGAAAAGTCTTTCTTAAGTTTTGAATAATCCTCATCCGCTAAAACACTTCAACCATATTCCATCATCCAAAATACATTCCAAACACAACCACTCTTTGGGATGAAAAAAAGAGAGAGCTCAAAGTCTTTGATTCACTCTCTCGATTACTTTGGTCTGAGAAGTCTTTCTTAAGTTTCAAGTAATCGTCATCCGATCATCTTATTCAAACCGTACTCAGTTCCTTCATATTTGAGGATGAAAAAGAGAAAGCTCCAAGTATTTGGTTCACTCTCCCGATTACTTGGGTCCGAGAAGTCTTTCTTAAGCCTCGAGTAATCGTCATCCGATTAATCAATTCAAACTATATCTGACTCTTTCACCATCAAGATGAAAAAGAGAGAGCTCCAAGTATTTGGTTCACTTTCCCGATTACTTGGGTCCGAGAAGTCTTTCTTAAGCTTCAAGTAATCGTCATCCGATTAACCTACTTGAACTACATCCTATCCTTTCGTATTTGAGGTTGAAAAAGAGAGATCTCCAAGTCTTTGGTTCACTCTCCCGATTACTTGGGTTCGAGAAGTCTTTCTTAAGCTTCAGGTAATCGTCACCTCTAGCCAAAAACATCTGATACATCTAACCAATCTAATTTCTCGCCCCCGTGCGATTGACACTTCTCAAAACCTAATTTATCACCCTCGCGCGACCTACAGTTCAATACACCTTTTCCAAAGAACATTGTTTTGTCCCTTCTTCCGCGCATAACAAACTAGTGCTTCAACCTCCCCTAGCGAGCAGACAAGGCAATGTTTAGCAGTTAGAATACGACCTAAACACTCGTTCGTTTACACAAACCTTTTACCGTAGTTGGCCGAACTACAACTGCTCTGATTCTTCATTCTCTTCTGAATGTAAAATACGTAGACACAAGACTGCGATAATCTTGGCGAGCACATTTCCATATTTCCCTCTTTTTCCCGTAGTCCCACGAACTACGAATGCTCTGATATTCCACTTCTTACAAATGAAGATACGTAGACACAAAGGCCCCAATCCTTGGCGAGCACCCATAGTATAAACCACCCATTTTCCCTTTTAGTAAGCAATTCCTTTAGAAGATAAACAAGCGTAGTTAACTTTATCTCACGAATCGAATCAAGAGGTTCCCGTTGAGTACAACAGACGTAGAGGGTGCTAATACCTTCCCTTTGCGTAATCGACTCCCGAACCTAGAATTTGGTTGCGATGACCATGTTTTTATCTCTTTAAAGATTTTATCAATATTTTCCTATTCCTCTCTTGGAATGAATAAAGTTCGATGACGACTCTGTTCGAACGTTTTTTTTTTTCGCGTCCATCGCGAGGATCGTATTTTTCGAGGTACGACAATAGGCATATCATTCTTATTATCTAAAGAGTCCAACCCAAACCCAGAGCTAGCGTTGGGCACATTCTGGACAAGAATAAGAGAATCAACCCCATGGAAAATATCCAAAGTTTTATATTATCAACTCCAGCACTTGACGAAGACTCTTCACTATCAGGTTCAAGAGGCATATTTACAAATACATTCTCTGGGTTGGCCATAACAATATGCAAAGGGGGGTAAAGAAATATCTCGAGGAAAAAGGAATGATCTGCAAACGGATGTTAAATGACTAGAATTGTTGTAACTAACAAACGATAAAATGGACTCAGGGAAGGGGAAAAAGTTCTAAGGGCCAAACGATGTAAGACGAACGTGAAAGGGGGGGGGGGGGGGTCCGACTTTTTGTAAGGTTTTAGTAACAAATCAACAACACAAATAAGAAGAAAGTGGAAGCCCAGGGGTGATGGTTTGATATTTCCTTATAAATACAAGCGATTCAGAGACACTTAAGTGCCCTATAGAGGAATATCGCACCCTAACCTACAAGTCTAAAGACACTCACCAAAAAGATGGACGAAATGCCTAAATGATGGGAAATGCACTTAATGTGCTTGTTCTCCACTACTTTTGCAACCACCTCACGACAGTCCCACTTTCCCTTATTGTCGATTTTGATAACAAGACCTCTAAAGACCTGTTGGCTAATAAAACACTCAACAAGGTTTAGGTGCAAATGTTTCGGACCGACCCAATACACGATATCCACATGTTTAGCCTAACTATGCATAGTCCAATTAAAATTATCCAACACATATAATCATAATAGATGAGATTCAATTTTCATTTTATCTAATCTCCAGTTCTTACTTCACTCCCCCTTAGACTTTGTAACAAACTTGAGTCTTATAGTCTAACCTCCTTGCAAGTTTACCTCGCACCACCATATCAGAGATCAACGTCACCATTTTAAGAGTCCAACATCATTAATCAACATCAATTCTAATTCCCACGTGAAACAAGTTCAAATCAAATAATCCACTTAAAACACTTTTAAAATTCCATTTGACAAAAAATTCATCATTCTTCGTCTCCACTCTCCAATGAGAAAGAGTATTAAAATGTAAGTATTAAAATGTAAATTTCGACTCTATTAAAAGTTATCTTAGCATTGTTTGTCATTAAAAAACAAAAACTAAGTTTCTATTATTTTTTCTTTTTTATAAAACATTGAGTTTGTTATTAAAAAAACAATAACAATTGAGTTTCTTTCTATAATTTGACTCTGTATAACTCAATTTTTTATTAAAAAAAAAATCTCGCGACCTCTATTATTTTTTTCTTTACTTCTTTTCATACTTTCTTATTTAACTTATTCTCACTAATCATTTTTTATATCGAAAAAGGAGAACACGATTAAGATAAATAGATAGTTATGAGAGAAATGTGCAGAATTTATCCAACCAAGCTGTATCATCACACGAACAAACTCAAACCATCGCTAAATATAGTATTGTTTCATTTCCATTTCCAGCTTATGGGTATAATGACTTATGAAAATAATCTCCATTTAATCGCTTTTCTCAAAATCAAAATTAACACATGCATGCTTACGCAAAAGAAACCTCATGAAGAAGTTTCCATCAGAGCCTCAACATAACTACGAGCAACACGGTCACATCAACGAAAACGGTTACAGCCAATGCAGTCTCACTGGAATCATTCTTCCGTCTCTCGGCGCCACCAGCGTTTACGACAGCAATGTGAACGACCTCGGTCACCTCATCATCTCCCCTTACAACTACCGTTATCAGTAAGATTTATTCCATTTTTATCGATAGTTATGGTATTGAATTCGCGGCGAAATTGACCTAATTACGATAATGTGAATGATTATGATAATGATAATGATGTTTTTGTAATTGATATTGCAGAAATTGGAACACGTTTCTCATGATATGGGTTTTATACACTGCAATTGTATGTCCTTTTGAATTTGGGTTTCTTTTGACTTCAAAAGGTCCATTTGCAATAGCAGACAATGTTGTGAATGGATTTTTCTTGATTGACATTGTTCTCACATTCTTTGTTGCTTATGTTGAGAAAATGAATTATCTTCTCGTCGTCGATAAAAAGAAAATTGCTTATAGATATCTTAGATCATGGTTCTTCTTTGATGTCATGTCTACCATACCTTATGAGGTTTTTCATCGTGTGTTGCCGCCTTTTCTCCGGACCTATGGTTACTTCAATATTCTTCGCCTTTGGCGCCTTCGTAGAGCGGGTGCTTTGTTTCAAAGGTAACATTCTAACCTCAAAATTTTGATTCTTTCTATTGAAATTTACTTCCATGCGCAACTAGAAAATTATTCTCAATAGTGGCCCTTTTGTTGCGTTGGTAAATGCTGATTTTGGTTTAAGAGTGAGTTGAACGTTCGTTTAGAACATTCAAGTGAAAGTTTGTTGAACAGTAAATTCAAGACTAAAAATTAATTGTATAGGCAAAATCTCCTGAATTAGTTATTGAGGAAAAATCAGTTCTACTCGAGAATACTCAAACATGCCAATACAATTTAATAATACTTGTGAAATCAATTTTGCCTCCTTCAAAACCAAACACGGTGTTGCTTATTTATCTTCTTTGTTCCTTGTGTCAGGTTAGAAAAGAATAGGAAATATAACTACTTTTTTGTGCGCTGTCTAAAACTTATTTGTGTAAGTACTTTCTAATTATATAGTGATTCTTTTTTGAGTTTGTCTAGTTATGGCTTATACTTCCTCTATTATCAAATCTAAGTAAAAGAAGTTTATGTATCTAGTTAAATTTGGATCATATACATATACTTTTTTTTTTGCTTATATTTGATAACAGAAGGAGTAAAGTATTAAAAAATCCTAACCTATGAGTTCAAATTTGAATCTGTTTGTAGGTAACCCTATTTTCGACACATGTAGCCGCTTGCGCTTTCTATTTTCTTGCTACAAGACCCAACCATACAAAAGTTACATGGTTATCACTTGTCTCGAATGGTTCCAACCTAACTATGTTGGACGGTTATGTTACATCAATGTATTGGTCCTTAGTGACACTTTCATCGGTTGGTTATGGAGATATTCACCCGGTAAACTCAGATGAAATGTGTTTTTGCATTTTATTTGTGATTTTCAATTTTGGACTTGGTGCATATTTGATAGGAAATATGACCAACTTGGTTGTTAACTGGAGTGAAAAAACTAAGACATATGTAAGTATATACTTATTAGCAATTTGTGAAGTTTTGAAGCATCATGCATTTGAATATTCTGCATCAATATTATAGTGTATTGTAGGGATGACAAAATGGATGGATTGGATGGATGTGGATTGGATTGTTAATGGATGGATTAAAACAATCCATTAGTCCATTAACAGTCCACTAAAATTTTCTTAAAATTATCCAATCCAATCCATCCATTAAAAATAAAATCCATCCAATACATCCATTAACATATTTTTAATGGATGGATATCTATCCATCCAACTTTTTTTTATACTATGTAGGAATAAATAAATTTTTTATTTTTGACAAATTCATTTTTTTGTATTTAAAAATAAATTATGAAGTCGGTTTTTTATATTTTAAAAAAGTCGGTCTTTTTTTCGGAAAATTTTTTTTTTATTAAAAAAATAATTGATTTTTGGATTCGAAAAAAAATTGTTTTTTTCTTTAAAAAAATATTTTTTTTAAAAATCGACTTTTTTTCGAAAAACAAATCAGTTTTTAATTTTGGAAAAAAAATCGATTTTTCACACAAAAAAAAACAGATTTTTTTTTCAAAAAAAAAAAGCAGACTTTTTTTCAGAAAAAAAACAATTTTTTTTTTCAGAAAAAAAAACTGATTTTTTTCGGAAAAAAAATGAATTCTTTTTTAAAAAAAAAATCTTTTTTTTTCCAGCAAAATAAAATCGATCTTTTTTTTTTTTGAAAAAATTATAATTTTTTTTCTTTTGAAAAATTTATTTTTAAAAAAATAATATAACAAAAATAAAATAATCCATTGGATTTTTAAAATATGTTGGATGAATTGAATTCATCCATGCATATAAATGGATGGATTTAATCCAATCCATTAACTTATTTTTTATGTGGTGGATGAATTGGATGAATTTTTTGATGGATGGATTTTTTGATGGATGGATTGAATGAATTTTGTCTTAATGGATCCTATTGCCACCTCTAGTGTACTAGACATGCTTATTAATTTCAATTCTGAATGTGGTTTATTTTTTTCCGTGCACTAGAGAGAAACTGTTCAAGCTGCATCACATTTTGCTCGTAGGAATCGGTTACCTGAACGTTTGCAAGAACAGATGTATGCTCATTTTCATATGAAGTACAAAACAAATTTAGAAGGATTGGAGCAGCAAGAGATAATTGATTCACTTCCAAAAGCCATTCAGTCGAGCATCGCACACTACCGATTCTTTGAACTTATTAAACAGGTTTACTTGTTTAGTGGAGTGTCAAGGGACCTACTATATCAATTGGTAATATTATTCTGTCTCTATAACCCTGCTTTGTTGACGAAGAAAACCATTAAGTTTATGTTTAACCAATCTGCACATTGGAAATAACTTATGTTAAAGCATGCCTTTGATTTGTAAGCCTGCGTCAGCAATTCGGGTTCTCTTATCTCCAACTCGTGAACTTAGATGATAAATAACTACATGATAACACTCCATCTTTCCGATTCTGTAGTTTAGTTTAAGTTATGCAATGATTTATGGATGTTGATAAGATCTTTCCATTGATTAAAAAATATGCAAAAAATAAAGATTTTCTCTCTTACTTTTAATCACTTCAAAATAAATATATGCAATGTCTCTTACTAATTAAATCTCCAAGAACAATTATTTACACGTTTGCTTCATGTTAGTCCTACTGTTTTTAATGAATAGATTATTTTGTACTCAGGTTAAAATCTAAGTTTAAAGACCAGTCCAAAACATGTAAATGCAATGTCTCTAACTTGTTATTTGCATGTTTACATCATGTTATTCACACTGTTTTGAAAGAATAGATTATTTAACCTGCATATTTTGAAATCTCAAAATTTGAAGGTGACAGAGTTAAAGTCCGAGTTTTTTCCGCCAAAAGAAGATGTAATCTTACAGAATGAAACACCAACAGACTTTTATATAGTGGTTTTTGGAGCTGTTGTAAGATTTTTTGTCTCTCTCTTTACTTTCATTTTCTTTGTTATATTCTATACTCCACTGAACTACTTCCAAAGAAAGACTTGACAAACTATAGCTCTAATTTCTTTGAACTGACAGGATCTTATCGTACACGAGAAATCAATGGATCGGGCAAGTTTCATCTGCATTCCTTTAATTGATATCATGAAAAAAATTGTTTTCATGACTAACAGAACTTTTCAATTATATTAGACAATTCACGAAGCATATACAGGAGATGTTTTTGGAGAAATAGGAGTGTTATGTTATAGGCCCCAAATTTTTACAGTTCGCACCAAGCGGTTTAGCCAGATCTTGCGTTTGAGTCGATCAGCATTTCTAAACCTTGTTCATAACAATGTTGAAGATGGAGCAATAATGATGAACAATTTTCTCAATGTATATAAGAAGATATTTGAGATTTTTTTATACTTATTTTTTCTTCTAGATTTGATTCTGCAAGAAAGTATATGTTGATGTTTTCTACCGTATTGCAGTATGTCCAAAAATCAAAATTTGGAATGTTGGATGGAGTTATGACTGAAATAGAGACACTATTGGCAAGAGGGAAAATGGATTTGCCTATAAGTTTAATATTTGCAGCTCACAAAGGTGATGATATGATGTTGCATGAATTGCTAAAGAAAGGATCAGATCCAAATGAAATAGATAATAAAACTGGAAAGACAGCACTGGTTAGAATTTTATTTCCTCTAATGTTCAGACATCTTTTATTTATTTGTTTATTTTTTCTTTTCTTTTTCTATATACTATACTACTAGACACAAATTACAACTCTACTTTAACTCTTTATATAGCATTCAGCAGCTTCCAAAGGTAGTGACCATTGTGTGGTTTTGCTTCTAGAGTTTGGTGCTGATCCTAACATAAAAGGTATAGTTAGAGCTTTTTGTGAATTCAGTAACTATTAAAAAGTAAAAAACTTAGAGTATGAAGATTGATGCTTATTTGTCTCTAACTTTGAAACATAAACACACAAAAAGAAGTGTTTAAGAGTAGCCTTTCCTCATTTAAATTATCAAGTCATAATACTTGCCTTAAAACTTTTCCATCAAGTAGTTTGCTGCACTAGTACATAATAAACACTGAATTAATTCTTAATATTTCAAGCAAACGGGTAATAAACGCTTTTCTATACACATTTTTTTTACCAAAAGAAATCTTTTCTTGCTTCCCCACAATCTTGTTTGAGATCTCTCAAAAGCTTAAACACACGGGCATCTAGCTTGTTTGTTTTTTAAATTTTTATTGAATGACAAATAATATTAAAAGTGAGTACAAGGAATACTCAAGCTCAATCTCAGCCAATAGTATAGCTGGTTTGTTTGAGCTTTTGGTTTTGGAGAGTCCAATTCAGCTTCTTACATGCTTTTGGAGAAGCGCCTTTTCACATGCTTTCGGAGAAGCTCCTTTTCACATGCTTTCGTCAAAATTGATTTTGACCGGCTCTAAACTTGTTTCATGTCCTAAACAAACAATAACCAATTTGTTATTAAATTAATTGTTAATGCTAAATTATTGTTTTATTTGGCATACTTTTTGGTGTTATAATTATTAATTTTTTTAAAGAATTGTTCTTATATATTTATTTATACAGATTTTGATGGAAATATACCACTAGGGGAAGCAATTTTGAGTAACCATGAATCAGTGACAAAACTACTTGTAGAGAATGGTGCGGATATATCTTTAACTGATGTAGGTCGTTTAGCATGCTATGCTGTTGAGAAAAAGGACATAAAAATGCTCAAAGATATTGCTCAATATGGTGGTGATGTGAAAAAGTCCGCAAATGGAACCACTGCGCTTCATCTTGCGGTATGTCAAGGGAATGTTGAAATGGTTAAGTTTCTCGTAGAACAAGGAGCATATATTGATATGCAAGATAGTTTTGGTTGGACTGCAAGAGCTTATGCAGATCATCAATGTCATGAAGAAATACAAAATATTTTCAAAGAAATTGAAAAAGATGACAAAGTTCCCCATGTTATTTCTTCGATGCTAAATGATAACGAAGGATCTCGTATTGAAAAGTGTCAAAGTGAATCTTATCTACCAACTATTCCTCAAAGTGGCAGTTTGCCACCTAATCAAGAGTTGACATGGTTGGATAATCATCATAGAAGAAGGGTTACCCCTTTTCGAAATTCCTTTTTTTCAGTTCCTAGTCAAGGTAAATTCATATATGTCGTTATCTTCCAAGTTCCAAATTCAAATGAATTGATGATTTTAGCTTATATGACTACTAGCTATGTTATTCTAACACAATTTGTTGACCCGTAGAGACATCGTATGCCACTATTCACATAAATTGTTATTACAATATTAATCACGTCTAGTAGATGATTAATGAATATTTGAACACATATTAAGTTGTTTGCATATAAGATACAATTTGTTTACGAAAACTATTCACATAAACTTATATCTTATATGCCAACAATTTAAATTTATTTTATTTTTTATCATAGAAATAGCTTATACATAAGCACTTATATGATAAACATGTAGTTAAGTTGTTTATCCAAACATGTGATAAGTAGTCAAACAATTAAATTCGGTCAAACCAAAAGAGTAGAAGTACAATAATCCTGAAATTCATTTCATTAATATGTATTGATTCATTGATTGCCATGCTGCATAAATTTGATTTTGAAAAAGTGAATGAGTTTTGCCTCTTTTTTCTTTGTTAGAGAAAATTGATTCTCCTACTTTGGAAAATAGTCGCACTACAACTACTCCTACTCCAAGTGTGACTGAATTACCAACTAGAGTAATGATTAGTTGTCAAGGAAAAAGTGAATATCCTAAACGGCTTGTTTTTCTACCTAAATCCCTTCAAGAGTTGCTACATATTGGTGCTGAAAAGTTTAACTGTTCTCCCACAATAATTTTGACTGAAGATGGAGCTGAAGTCGAAGACATATGCTTGATAAGAGAGGGTGACCATCTCACTCTTGCATGACGAGACTAAGGATTGAAACTATAATTGGTTTCTACACCCTTTTGTAAATTTAGAATTTAGGAATGGATGCACAAATTATAGTATTATACACATGTAAAAATATAGATTAGAAGATATAATAGATACATCGATTAATTATTTTGTTCAATCATAATGTTTTTGATCTCTCAAATATAGTAAGTTTTTTCACTTTACATAGAATTTTGTCATACAAGGATTTAATGTCATATAAGGATTTAATGTTCCAGTGTGTAGTGCATACTGGCAGAGTTATCTGGAGTGTGTGAAGGTTTGAAGATGGCTAGACTGTGGCTTCATTCAAGAGTAGTGGTGTCTAATCTTTTAGCTGATTAAGCTGGTGTGTTAACACCTTTCTTAATTAGATATTAATTGTTACTAATATCATGTAAGTAATTTTGCCTTAATGTTTTTTGCTTTGATATTTCACTAAATATATAGTAATTTCAACTTGTACTGAAATGTGATAAATGATAAATATAATTACACGATATTATTTTTTAATTGACACCTTCAAATTGGAGTAACTTCTAGTCTTTAAAACAGTTTTTCATACATGAAATTCAGTTTCTAATTGTATTATACCATATGCTGAAAAATAATGTTAAAATGTCAAACTTATCATCTTTAGTGTTGAAATTGTTATAAGTCAAGCCACTTCCTTGTGGACCATCAAGGTTTTATTTTTCGTTGAATCATTCTTGGTTGCTCTGAGTCGTAATTAATTTGTGTTTTCATCCTAAATGGTAATTACAATTCTTGATTGTTGTGTTTTTGGTTTTTGCTTATGATTCCGTTGCCGTTGTTTGTTCTTGGCATCCAATTGTTGTTTGTTCTGGATCGCAATTCATTGTTCTAGGTTGTAATTCATAATTACAATTCATTTCTTTGCTTTTTTTTCTTCTGAACCAAATGTCTTTCTCTTGGCTTCGGGAATACATGTCTTTTTATTTTGTCCTCAAGTTCTATTGTTTTCTATTCACATTGAATTCATGGCTTTGGAAAATGAAAGAGTATTTTTCTGTCCATTTTAATGACAGGAATTATCCTACTTAAAAATTTCAGTTAAAAAAATATGTCAAAGGGAAAGGATTATGAGGTTGGTTGGACGATGTTTTTGAGGCATAAATTGAGAAAACTGATTTGAATACTTGATGAAGTTAAGATGCTCAAATTATCATTTAAATTTAAATTCTAAGTACTTTTGATTCTCACATTTGCATTCGTTTTAAACTGCTCAAGAAACTTTGAATTATTTAAAACATATTTACAACTAGGATAATGCAGTCAAAAGTTTTCAATTAGAATTAGAGATAGACAATTATAAATAAACTAACTTTCCTATTCAAGAATATTATTCAGTTTTTTTTTTTTAAATTTATGGACAAAACACTCTTATTATCAATAACAATGTTTCCAAGGCTTCTCTCGTGTCCAAGAAGTCTACAACACCAGTAGACTGGATTCATTACTCACGGAACTTTGTAAAGAATTTGACGTTTTTAGAGGTGCTTTAGTGAATAGGAACACTGTTGCTTCTTTGGATAAGGCTGTCAAACAGTGACAGTTGCTTATGGTACTCAGAGGATCGGTAAAGGACGTGTATGCGACATATTCAATACAAGTGTCATCCTGCTCGTTGCAAAATTTTGTTTTTCATAAACCCACTAAACACATTGAAGTTGATTTCCATTCAATTTTAGACACCTATGATGACCAAATTATGTCACTTCCTTACGTTAGCACTAAGTTTCAAGTATCAAATATTCTTACCAAGTGTGTTCCGTGTCCACATCATCAGTTTCTTATTAGTAAATTGATGTTCGTTAACTAGCTACATCAATTTAAGGGGGATGTCAATCAAGAAATAATAGTCTAATTATATTTATCATCTTTTCTAAAATAAATTAGACAAATTATAGACCAGTGGAGAAGTGATTTATTCTCCTTAATTTATAATTATTAGCAGTAAATATTGTAACTATTGTATATTTCCTTTGAATTATCAAAACAAAAGCATTAATCAAAACAAAATTACTTATAGCAGGTGTACTATTGCACCATGTTAAATATCATGAACAAAAAGAAATTATGATGTACAACACTATGGCTGGTTTTACCATTAGATCAAAATACTGACTCAACAAATATTTTGTTTATAAATCTTCTAAAAGAACAAGTGTTGCTTTTCTTCTCCTTTTTTATTCTCATATTTATCATATAATCTCTACTCCACATCTTACTCTCCCCCTATTGAGTCTCATCTTATTCAACTGTAACCGACCTTACATGAATCTTGAGCATGACATTCAAGAGGATCTCACTCATACATAAAACCTTTTCTACATTCTAACAAAAGGTTAATGGAGTGAGACTAATTCATCATATACGGATAGTTTCATCAGGGTAACCCTGTCGAAGTCCAAGCCATAAACATATAGAGTTAATTGTACAACTGTTAACAAATCACAATCAATAATATGTGCAACTTTAAATTAATTATGATTAAAGTTAGACGTTTACCTGAGAGTTTCTGTCATCATTGTAGCGATAATTGAAGCTACGGTTGAAGCTTCTATTATCATTTTGGTTTATTGTTCTAAATTTCAACTCTCCTCTATGAGTTGTCATCTCATCCAAAATCTCCGCGTCATAATCATTTTCTTCTTCGCTATCACTGTCAGTACTATTACGCGTATCTTTGTCCTGATCAAACATTTTCAACACGAGTCACTCGTTAATAAGCATTGAATGAATTTTCGAGAGAGTAATATAAAATGTAACCAATTCTTATTAAATCTTACGATTAGTGGTATATTGTACGGTCCAAGTGGAGCACCGACAATTTCCTCATACTCAGAAGCGTCTAGTTCCTGAAGATGGCTTGCCTTGAATAATGTTGGAAGCAATTTCTCTCTTAGCATTATGAGAAGGAAGAAAGGCAATGGAAACAATATTCCACCAACAGGTATCCACGTTAAACCATAGCAGAGGAAAAAGTATAGAAGCTGTAAAACTGTAAATCCTGCTATTGTCTTGAATGGTACCGACTCCACAAATGATGAATGAGAGCCTTCCAAAACTCTGCACAGATACACATTTTTAGAACAATAGACAGACCTCGGCTTAACCGTGACAAAAATTTCACAGGCCTTTTTTAGCCATGGTTCAGTCGTTCAACATTTTAGGCCCTGTGCGGTAACTCGTCTTGCATGCCTTTAAAGACGGCACTGACTGGTTCATATAAGTTATAAGTTGTTTATATAAGTTATCATGCAGCGTGTTATGAAAATAATCTGAAAACAGTTTATGGACATGTATTAAGGAATACTCATTTAGGATACTTACTTGTACTGCCTTTTCGGGGTGATGAAAAGAAGCAAAATTCTTTCCCAAAATTGATTCCCTGGAAGACTATCAATTGCCATGTAGGCGAAATATCCCCAAAGAACCGAGGTCGGTATCCTTTTGATAAGAGATGTAGCTAATAGTAATAAGGCAACAAAGAAAGCCTGCAACAAGTTGCTCAATCTTTGCTCATTGACTCTAACAGGCAAATAGGAATCAATATGTTTTACAGGATCAAACTTTTCCTTTGAACCAGCATTAGTATTCATTACAGCCTCCCTCAAATTCTCCAACTCTTTAGCCTGAAATGAAAAAAAAAAGATAACTCTTTGATATGTATACACATAGATATACGACTTTTTGTCAAGCCAACAATACTTACGGTAGGCGCTGCATCCATTTCTATAAACACGGAGCGCATCGTTCCATATAATTCAGCGTTCGTTCCTTGGTTCCTAATGCATTCTTTGGCACCTTTCACCACCTTCTTTCGAATCATCTGCGAATTCGTAATAGAAATAACTTATAGATAAGCATTGAATTAAGTTTATCCCAACACGGCCTTATTGCGAAATATGATACTGACCTGCCTCCTAAGAATTGCTAAGCTCTTTGTATGCATAGGAGACTGAGGAAGGACTCCATTTGATGGAGGAAGACCGAGAAGACCGCAAATAAGAGTCTAAAGGATCAAAAGGATAAACATGTCATGAAACCTTATGATATGGAATTTACATAAAACAAAACGATCGCAACACTGTAACGTACCATTATTCCAAGGAGAAAAACATCATAGTGGTATGCAGATGGTTTTTGAAGGTTGAACTCCTTCTGTTGAGCCATCTTGGAAGCTACACTATGATCAAAAAAGTATAAACCCGCTATCATGATTGCCGGAATAAATGCTCCGTAGATATACAACAATGGTACTTTTAGCATATCCTACAGTTTGCATTCAGTAGTAGCTTTAGATGGATTTTAGGACTTTTCCATAACATGAAATTAGTCATTTCCTTAAGAAAATGAAGAATATACCTTCATTACTGTCCAATGGTAGAGAGATGCAGGATCCCAAGGAAATGGACAAAACAACCTTCTAGGGACTGTTGGTGGAACTTTGCCTGGCACAGCATAAGATATTGCAGTCCAAAGCACTACCATCATTGGAACACCATAATCTGCAACCAAGGCTCGTAAGCCACCTGCGAATGCGGAAACTCAGAAAACTGTGACATTGTTGCAAGTGCAATTTAAGATGCATACAACAATTTAAAACATTTAAGTACTATATCTTCGGATTTTAGAGTGATTTACCTGTTCCGTATCGCCATTTTCTTGCTTTTCTGCTTAACATGGCAGTGAAAATTAACCCGAAAAAGAAAATGATTGAAAGTAATCCATTTATATACCGCCAATGAAATTGATATTCTTCTAACGAGGGATCTGCAGCCTTCGGTATCTTGAACTCAGTTAGGACTCCCTAGTGGATCACAAACATTGTGAAGTTAGAATTCACTTTCCATTTTGCTAGTAAAAGTCAGCTATATCTATATCTATATCCATATATAGATACATATCTATATCTATATCCATATATAGATACATACCTCTACAGCCTGTTGAAAGAAAAGCACAGTAATTAGCATGCCAAATAGTTCTTCTGCAATCCTAGTAAACCTACTTATAATCTTACACGCGTTGAAAATTGCCAGCAGAATCAGCAGCAATGCTGTCCAGACACAGACCCTGCAACAAATATAACCATCAAGTTATCTGTGATATATATAATAGATTAATGAGATACAGGGTCGTCTTAAAAGTTTTCGGAGACCCTATGTAGGTTAACCACAGTTTAAGTATGTCAAATCAAATAGGGGCCGATTTGATCATGGTTTATCCATGCCAAATATTTTGCAAGACCCTTTTTAGCAACAGTTTAAACGTATCAAATTTTGGGCCATGTGCGGTAGCCCGTCCTACACGTTCTCAAAAACGGCCCTGACGAGAAAGCCAAAATATATCTATATATATATATATACTTACCAAGCAGCCCAAGCCAAAAAAAGCTTAGCACCTAACTCTGGTGTTTTTACGCAAAAATTGTATAGATAGGTGTACATGAGACAAGTTGGTTCAGCAACTCCTACAATTAACAAAGGTTGACCACCAAATATTGAGTGGATAACTCCACAAATAGCAGTTGATGCCAATGTTTCAACTGTGCTCAAGCTTCCACCTGTAAAAACATTACGGCTAACGTAAGTCAAACGTTTTTAATGATCTGACGATTACGATTGATTGACAGTGTGTGTATGGATTAATTAAATCCATAACATTAAGATTTGGACTTTGAAGGTATTGGCAAGGTTTTGCTTTACCTGTATCTCTATTAAGCTGTTCTCCAAAAGCAATGACTGGAAGTGCAGAAGCAAAGAATATGTAGAAAGTTGGAGCCAGTATCCTAACATTGTTGAAAGAATTACCAAATCTTAGAAGTGATGAGGTGATACAAAAGAATGGATAATGATAGATTAGAATTACCTGATGCCAGTATTGATTGCACAAATCCAATCATGTTTGTAACATTCTATTCTTCCTTTGAAATCTTGAGTTATTCCACTAAATGTGTCCATACCTGAAACAAGACATTACACATATCAACTCGCAAAATTATATATATAAAACTAATTAACATGTTTCATTTTTTTTCTTGGGTTTCCCAGCCTAGTGGCTGGAATTTCATCTCTTAAAAGGTGAATAAATGAGATGTCACGACAAACCCGTGTCTTCTGTAATGCAATGTTCCTGCAGATGTTCATGCACAGCTTCCAACTCAATTGCCTTTTCGAGACGAACATGTTTCATTTTATTTTGTATTATATGACAATGAAGAAATGGAAGACTTACTTGAACTGCGGGTCCAGGTGGACCCTCAAGAATTAGAGGAACAACAAAATGATTGCAGGTGGAAGGAAGAAGGGTGACAGGTTTTGAGAAAAGAATGCAAAATATAAAAGAAAAAAGTGGCCACCGCAGAATCTAGATTCAAGAAATTGAAGGGTGTTCTCTCTCTATCAATGTGGAAGGAGAAAGAGAGAGAGAGAGAGAGAGAGAGATAGAGAGAGAGAACGAGAGAGAGAGAGGGGAAAGAATATAAGAAAGACACAACACACCAGGGAGAGAGAAAGAGAGGGAGAGAAGTATGCATGCATGCAAAAACTAAAAAATGTTGAGACAAGTTTTGTGGGGTTCCGGAGATAGATATGATCCTATGTTGTCGGATATATACCATGATGATCTATCTTTACAAATTAATTATGATTTGTTCACAAGATTTGGTGCCAAAATTGTCTCTTTACTATTTGAGACAATGTCACATGTTAAACAATGCTTCTCAATTAAGGTTGAAAACCTGTGGAAATCTAACTCCTATGCTTGACCTCATTTCATACTTCTATTCAATCTATGGTCTTATTTTATTTTTTATAACCTAATATTAGTTTTTTTCCTTTCTAAATATATATTGTCTATTTAACTTTCAAGCTATCATTTTTACCCAAAATTGACTAGGAAACTCATAACTTCATCATATTTATATACAATTTACCATTAAGACATTTCTTAAGCATACACCTTATTTCTTTTTTAACTTCGCTTATGTGCATACTTTTTCAATTAAATTTACTTATCTCATAAGTACTACTCTTGATTCAATTTTCTAAAGAATTCTATTGAGATTTAACTTATCACATAATTTTTTAAGTAGGTTCATATTTCACATCTCAATTCAATTATAAAAGAGGCATAAGCTTTAAACACATTAATCATACCATTTAGATTCAAGTCTTTCATTTGATACTCATATTTCTTACATGATAGTATTTTATAATGAATTTTAAAATATTTAACACATGTAGCAAATATAATTGTAAAAAAGTTAAAAGAAGGATCAAATTCATTAAATCTCTTTTCAGCAAAAATTCGATGGAAATTTCAACGACCACCTTGTCTATCACTTAATTTTTGTAAACTTCGTGTTTAAAGGATTGTGTGTCGATATGTTCATAATAATCCAAATCCACTTAGTATCAACAGGGTCTGACCCATTAGCCCTAGAGCAACCTAGACCGTAGAGAGAATTTAAACCAGTATAGGTGAGGTGAATTCAGCCTCAGGTCATATTGACCATCTCTCTGTTAAGTATAATAAGTGTAAGCAGATGATAATAGTCTCACATTGGATATGAATGTGGTGACTTGAGCATTTATAAGTGAGAGAACTCATCCATCTATAACCTTAAGGTTTTGGGTGAATATGTGATGTGTCTCTTACAAAGGTGTTACTTTAGAAATAAAATCACACAATGTTCAATGTTCCCTAGTGAAAATCTCCCTAATAGCGGTATCATGGACCCTTGGTTCGAGGAAGATACCGACTCACTTGTATCGAAAGTATCCACACAAGTTGTGGGTAGAGTGTCTCGTTGAAGAATATCAACAGCGGTACAAGTGTATGCACTTGAGGGGGAGTGCTAAGTATAACAAGTGTGAGTAGTATGTGTAATAGTCTCACATTGGCTAGAAATGTTACTTCCACTTAAAGGGGAGCATTGTGGAAATATTGTGGATAAACTCGCACTTGAGGGGGAGTGCTAAGTATAACAAGTGTGAGTAGTATGTGTAATAGTCTCACATTGGCTAGAAATGTGGAGACTTGCACATTTATAAGTGGGAGAACCGATACACCTTAAGGTATTGCTCTAGAAAAGAAATTCCCACAATGTTCAATGCTTCCTAATGAAAATTTCTCCCAACACTCTCCACGATAGGCTATGCGAGAGAGACTGTCTAACTAGGAGCTCATGTTAACTTTGAGACAAAGAGTTGACTCATCCATGAGTCACATAACGAGTTATTAGTATCTGCTACTGGTTGAGCCAAAAGCAAAAGAACATAATAATGATGTCCATGACAATGTAATAGTTGCAACAGACATAACATTAAGTGCCATGAAAGCGTGTCACACAATCAAGGCTTTGACAAAGGAGGGACAAGACATTAAAAGGAAATAACTAGATAACAAAAGTCGGTGTGGCCAAAGTAAGTCATAACAACTATAAACAGGTAAATTAGTGGTTTGAGTAATCCATCACTTATTCACACATCTTGCAAATTAAGGATTTGTTTGTCCTACACAGACAATGTCATAAACATTGTACTTTTTACATCACTTATTCATGTATCTTAAAAATTAAGGCTTTGATTATCCTACATAGGCAATATCATATACATTGTACTTTTTGCATCACTTATTCACATGTCTTATAAATGAAGCATTTGCTTGTCATACATAGACAAGGTCACATACATTGTATTTTTTGCAAGTTCAATTGACATTCAGTGTGAGACCTGGCAAAATTGACTTGGAACACAATGATTCCTTCAAAGAGTCTCTATTTTACTTAACTAATGTTTCTCAATGGTGGGCACAAGACACATATCCAAATTTAGCAACAATAATGTCCTATCAAGGATGCAAGCATGCATGGAGGAGTTGCACCGTCAAAACAAAACCCTTTAAATTAGCGTCATAAATTCCCAACAACAATAACATGAGGATAATGCACACGAGGGCAGATAGATTTTGATCCCTCAACCTCTCTTTGCCGAGGTCTTTGATACCCATGTCCCAGATATCTTCTAATCACCTTCCTTGATAACATTTGATGGAAAAGGCGACCCATTAGAACGTGTCACTAGCATCAACACAGAGATAGAAATAATTGGCGCAACGAATTCTATCAAATGCAAGCTTCTGGTCGGAATGTTAAAGAAGGCATCCCTATGCTAGTACGTGAACCTTCCCAAGTTCTTCGTGACCAACTATCAAGATCTATCTAGAAAATTAATCTACCAATTCTCAGAGAGAAGCATCCCAAAGTATCTACTTACCAATTTGTTTAATGTACGCTGGGGAAACTCGAAATCATTATGGGAATACATGGTGATGTTTAATGGGACCACCATCAAGGTAGTCAACTCCAATCAAGAAATGTTTGTAGGCATTTTCTAGAATGAACTTAATATCAGACACTTCAAATTTGATGGAAGAAATCATGGCAATGGCGAAATTTCATGTGAAAAGAGAATAAAGTAATGCTGAAAAAGGGCCAAAGATGCAAACGAGCAAAAAATATGGGGTTTGAGTCCTCTATCAACTACAAGAACCCCCACTTAGAGCACCTTCAATGCAACCCATTTTTAGGTTCTTTGTGGGACCCACTCTTCTAAAATAACTTATTCAATTTCCACTCCAATAGTGCAACCTCAAAGAACCCATATTGGGTCCCACTACTTTACTTAAATATATTATTTATATTAAATTTATTTTATTTAAAATTATAATTTAAATATTTAAATTTTAATTACTATAAATATAAACTAAACATAAAATTAAAATTAAACATAAAATTGAAAATAATAATTTATGAATAAAATAATGAAATTATGAGAGAGAAATTTAAAATTAAAGAGTAAATAAAAGTGAGAGAAAATAGGATTGTTATAAATTTTTGCAACAAACTTATATTTATAATAAATAAAAAAAGTTAAAAAAAAATAAAACCAACAAGTTAAATAATTATTTTAATAATAAAAAAATGAAGAACCGTTGCTTATGCAAGGAACGTTCACTAGGTGGAACAACTTTTTGTTGACAATTTTAATGCCAAGTTGGCAAACCAATTTGAAGAACCACCGTTGGAGATGGTCTTACATACTCTCTCCTTTCGCTCTCATTATTGTCCAAGTGACGCCATCTAGGCCGTTCATTTGTTTGACTCTAGCATTGACCCAGGCCATTCATTTGTTTTCATTTGGGCCAAGCCCATTTGTGTTTTTTCTCTTGCACTGCTTCATGCATATATTGCACCCCTGCATTTTGTTTTCTTTTTTTACTTAGGTTAATTAATTTTCGATCAATTAGCATGTTAATTTTTGAATAATTAAATTAGGTGATAAAAATAAGAGAAAATAATGCGACCATTAAAATCAACATTTTAAAATAAAAAAAAAACTTGATTAACATCAAGTTAACTTTTAAAACAAAAATATTTTATCACTCATTCATCAAATTCAAAACCACTTCATCACCAAATAAAAAACTTTTCAAATAAATTTCAAACAAAATACAAATCAAACACTTGATCAACATCAAGTTCTTTTTCAAACTTAACCAGAAACACGTCAAAAACTATTTTCACAATACAAATCAGATTAAAAAGGACAATTGGATGCACACTCTTTTGATCCCTAAATAATAAGACCTGATGCGTACACATTGGTCCAACCGATTATTTGTCTTTAGTAAAAAAACACTTAATACTCGTAATTTAAACTAAACCACTTTTTCACAATCTATGCAATTTATCTTAAATCTTTTTCTTAATAAAATCATATTAAAAGGAGAACTGGATTCACGCTCTTTTGATCCCCGAATAATCCAACCCGGGGTGTATGCCTTGGTTCAACTGATTATTTGTCTTCTGCCAAAAAACACATAATCAAAATTAGGGTTAAAAAGGACAATTGGGTGCACACTATTTTGAATCTCGTACAATCAAACTCAAGGCGCACAACTCGTTCCAACCAATTAGTTGTCTGCCCACAAATAATTTTTATAAATAATTGGATTAAAAAGGACAATTGGGTGCACACCCTTTTGATCCTCGAATAATTGGACCCGAGGCGCACGCCTTGGTCCAACCGAGCATTCGTCTTCCACCTAAAAAACAAACTCAACCAATCAAACTCCTTTTTCCCAAGTGCAATCAAATCTCAAAAAATTTCATAAACGAAAGATGCTTA